AAGGTCTGTTTCTCAGATCTGTTCTGCTTTCCTTTGTGAAATATTTTCCTCATTCATCTGAAAACCAGGTGTTCCCAGCCAGAAAATTGAAAGTTTAGTAATTATGCCTGCAGGTCTGTGAGAATAATTGCAAAAAAACAAAAAACAAAAAAAACCCCACACATCCCAAAATTAAAACTAGAATTTTAGTTGGACAGTGCTGAGCATCTGAACTATGTTAAAGCTTTTGTGGGTAAGGCCACTCTTGTTTTTCAGGAAAGGGCTCACATATGACTTTATATTCTGTTTCAGAAGTTATTCTGAATAACGCTAAGTGAGTCAGTGGATAGTGATGGTAGAAAAATCAATGCATTTAGTCATGGTTAGTAAAATTTTTAGTATTAAGTAGTTAAGCATTTAATTAAATAATTCACTTGTGTGATAAATGTACTTGCTAACTCACTATTTTTCTAAAAAGTAAAAAAAATTGTTTTCTTATATGAAGCACAAGATAAAGTGAGGGCTAAAAGGCTGTTGCTTTTTAATATGTTGTTCACCTATGTTTAGTTATACTGTTGGTTTTTTATGTACTAGCATAAACGCTTCCGGCCTGTAATTACTCTCTTCAGTGGAAGATCTTAAAATTTGCCTTTAGGGTTTGGATGTCTAGTTCCCATTGCATACGTTATAGGTAGCTCCTCCGCAGAGGATTTTCAGCTAGCAGTTTGAGTTTCTCTCACATCAAATATAAAAAAATCATAGAGGAATATGGGGACTTTTGCCTTATCTTTCCTCTCTCACTGGCACCAGTTTTGGGGAAACAGTTTCATGTTCATGACTTGGTCTTATGGTTGCATTTATCCCTGTGTTCACTGGTATTTTATTGAATTTTCTTCAGTTAGTAGGTTGTCACATTATATTAAATATGATTTCATTAAGGAAAAAAGTTTGTTCAGCAGATAGCCTAATGATGCTGAAAGGCCTGATCAGAAGCCTCAGGAACTTGCTTAGGTGAACGTATAGAATTTGCTGAGCACATGTATTCTCTTAAAAAGCAACAACTTTGTTGTTGTTGTTGTTGTGACCAAACTTACCTTTGTTGTGTTTTCACTCTAATTATACTACCATAGTTCTCCCATTCTGGAAGGGAATTTAGTATTAATTTTAATAAACATCTTGAATATTTTTCCAGTAAAATATCTCTGTCTTATTTTGTGTCTGCTTCAGAGACCTAATCTGTGCCCTAAACTTTCCATTTTAGATGACATCTGTGTGCAGAGAGGGGAAACACCCTGCATGTTCTTTTGGCCTATCCATATGTGTTAGTGAGTTGGATTGGCAGGACGTGGTGGGGGGAGGGGTTCATTTTACGGGATCAAATAAAGACGGGTGCTAATACTGTGGCTAGTTCCTGTTGGCAGCATCTTTAGGTGCCTGTTATGTTGATGTTTCATAGGAAAAGAGAGGCTGCCACCAAGTGCAAAGAATCCATATTGCCTTTACAGTGGCAGTGATGATCCTTCAGCAAAATAGCAGTATCTCACAATTTGCTTTCTTTCTGAAAGAAGATTTTAAAGTCATGATGAAGGTGGGAATGTTACTATATTCTGAACTTCTATAGATAAGACAAACCTGTGTACAATTAGGCGTTAGTATACCAGAATCATCTGAATCCATTGATAACATTTGAATCATTTGGTGAAAAGGAACCTGATAAAAAGTCTGAGACTTTAAGAACAGGAATCCATGACTAGGTATCAGGTTATTTAAGGCTCATTTTGAAGAGTCTTTGAATTTTTCTTTTTTTGTGTAATAAACTTGTAATCACTTACATGACCATGACTAAACTGATCTTACTTTTCCCTTTAAAAGAGCAAAAATATTAGATAATATAAATTGAACTATTCACATTGGTTAAAACTAAAAAAAATACAAGTGTGTGTGTGTGTGTATGTGTATATATGTACACACACATCTATATCATTAGATCACTGGACCCTGTGAGCCAGAGCTGTGCTGGAGGTGGCTTGATGCTGTTCAATAGAAGCCTCTTCTTTGGAGTGAGTTTTGATCTCTGTGCTGCTCTTCCTCCTGCCTTCCCTGCTGCTCAGACAGAAAGTTCTAGATCTGCTCCGGAAAAGCCTTTTGTTTCTTTGTGTATTCTTCTTGGCTTGAGCTGTGGGGTCACAGATGTGGAAGAAAATGTTAGGTTGGCCACTGAGCTTAATGTTTTAAAAAAAAACCACCCCTAAGATTCGTATGGAGTCTGCTGAGTATTAGTGCTGGATTGCATGGCTAATTGGCTAATTTCTTTCTTTCTTTTTTTTTCTTCCTCTCTCTTTCTCTATTCCTCATAGCAAAGGGCCTGTGAAGAGCATATTGTTTCTAACTAAATGGGTCTAATGAGTTCTTAGCTTTAAAGTATACATATTTTAAATGAAGGTTCTCAGTGATTGAAAGTCCAGCACTTACAGCATGGAGATCCAAATTAAGAGGTTTGGCAGTGTATTTTAAGTGGACCTAACATTTGACCCACTCTACTATGATATTTGACACTTAAGCTTTAGTTAGTATTCAATTTTTGACATCTTGATCTTAAAATATTCATTATATATTATATGTTTCACAACACAGTGTTTTACGTTGATCTCAAACTTTCAAAAGAGTTTTAAAATTTGTGAAGGTTGCAGAATAAAAGGTATTGCTGAAAGACAAGTTAATCTGCGTCTCCTAGAAGAACTAAGGATCGTGTTAATCAACTCTTTTCTGTTGCTGGACTAAACGTCTGACTGCCACTGCAACCCTGGCCCAGGAATTATAAAAGAGAATGACCGTAGCCCTATGAAATGTGAGACCCCAGCTTCCCACAGCTGGAGTTTTGGGTCGGACGTACAGTTTTCGGTAAAGAGCAGTGCCATCTTGCGGCTGCAGGAAAGAGGTGGTCCTAGTGAACGTTAGTTACACCGTGCCTCTGCGTTTTGTAAGGGACGTAAAGGCACACGGCTAGATCGTCCTAAGGAGCCGGCAAATGCGTGAAAAGTCGGAAGGACTTCTGTCTCCTAAGTTAGCTCTTCCTCATGAAGACATGGTTTTATTCATCTTAGATGGATTGTGTTTATTTTAAAATAGGCTTGGATCAGTTGAACTCAAATACAATTATTGTGCCGAATTAGCTGTCAGGAGTAAAAGGATGAATTCCTTGCAGTGCTTCTCATTCAAGTGAATTTTCTTCGCATAAAAGGGAAATCTTATCAACTGGCATTTCAGGGAGGGTACTACTTTGAATTTTCTATCTAACTTTTTTCTTTTAAAGGCACAACTGTATGTTTGTGTTTAAAAATTCGCAGGAGAAGATCAGTAGTCCTTCTTCACCTTCTTTTGAGGCAGCAGCTTAACAAGGCCTGTAGCTGCCACCGCTGTTGTTTCTTTAACTGTATGATAAACTTGCAACAGCAATGCATCCAGCCGCAAAATAACCGCCTTTCTCAGCTGCATCAGTTCCCTAATCCGTTTTACCAGCTGGTGTCCCCAAACATGTGTTCTGTCACAGGGGAGGGTCAGGGAGAGGGTCGAAATGGGCGCTCGCTCACCGAGGAGGAGCAGGCAATTGCTTCCTTCAGTAGCAGTGCTGGCATATTCTTGCGTAAGCGTTTACCAGAGTGGAGTTTGGTGACTGGTTTCCCAGAGTCTGACCGACCGCTGGCCGCGCGTCACAGAGGTGCTTTCCCTCTTCCTCTCGCTGCCCTTTCCCTGTGGTCACCCCTCTTCCCACGGGTTAACCCTGGTCAATGCAGCCCTGAGTTGAGGTCAGACTGTAGGAAATAATGTTACAGCACGCTAACCATAGCACAGCAAATCTCAATGCAAAACCTTGCAGGAGGGGGAAGTGTTCTTATTTTAGAGCAAAACTGATTTCATTCACTTCCATTCCCACTCTTCCACCCACGTCCTCAGAGGCATCAAGATGTGTTTGTCCAGGACTCCTTGTGAGGACAGGGAGGGAAAGGAACGCCGGCCCTGGGACTCGTACTAGATTTAACCACGGGCTGCTTTGGATGTGGTGACCGTGTGCTAGTTCTGGAGATGCCATTTGTGTCTTTTAGGAGCTGGCAGTGATTTCTCTCTCTATCGTGTTGCACCTCTGTGAGTGTCATCAGGTTTTCACTTACTGTCTTTGTCTCCCGGTCTGGGTTTCTCAAGAAGCAGATGTAGATGTGCACCTGGATGACCTGCTAATCTGTGCGCCCTCAAAACATGCCATTCTTACAGTCCTCCTTCTGCCAGTCGTTCCTTCGGATGCTTTCACACTCAGATGTTCCTATCCGTTCTCTACTCGTGCCAATTTTAAAATCTCTGTTTCTCAATGGGATTACTTTTCTAGTCATAGTAAGTTGTTACTCGTTTGCATCACGGAGCTTACCTCCTGCCCTCTCCTGCAGTTATGGGTGCTGCAGGAGGTGTATGTGAACTTTGTGGAGCGACTCTCAAGTGAATTTGCTCATCAATAGTGTTGTAAGAAGTCTTTCGTCATTGAAGCGGGAGTCCCGGGGAACGATAAAGTCATTGGGAGTTGCGCTAGTGATATCAGTGGAACCATTCTTAGTATTTTCCTAAGCCTTTTCAAAGATGTAATATCATTAGATATTATGGAAATTGTTTTAAATTTATAATCTAATTTTTATGATTACATTAAGATAAAACCCTAGTGCTATTAAAGACAAATTTGTGTTGACTGAAAACTGCATTGGTGTAGCCTGCATTTCATCCATGACTGGCTTTGTATTCCAAACAACAGTAAGTGATGTAAGCGCCCACTCTGTGGTGTTAACACACTGAATTACCTGAGTTAGTCACACTGTGTAAAATAAAATGTGACAATAAAACAAAAATTTTAATTGTCTCCTCTGTTATTGTTTTTAATTTGACTACTGGAAAAATTGCATTCTGTTTTGTTTAATCTCTCTTCTGTTAATGTGTGAAAAGGCTGTAATTAACTCTATCTGGATATCTATCTCTAACAGGAACCAGTGATCCATACGTCAAGTTCAAAATTGGAGGAAAAGAAGTATTTAGAAGTAAAACAATACACAAGAACCTCAACCCTGTGTGGGAAGAAAAAACTTCTGTTCTTATAGATCATCCAAGAGACCCTTTATATATAAAGGTGATATGCTTAGTTTGTAGGTGAAATTTCATCAGAATAATTACTGAAAGATTTTATATTTTGTAATGTTGTACACTGAAAAAAGTTATTGTGTAATACTGTGTTACTAAAGAATTCTTAAAGATGAAAATTATTTAAAGTACATCTGTATAATGATGATGTAGGAATTTCCAAAGAAATAATGTAAGTACAGGCACTTTTCTCTTTCAGGCCATAATTTTATATTTTTATTGTGTTCTTAGGACAAAGAACACAATTCATGTTGATGGTATCTGTTTTATTTATAGAAATATCATTGCATAATTCTGATCAAAGTCTGGCATGAAGCATAATCTATCCCATTAAAAGCTAATCTTTGCTAAGAGTAACTTGAGAATTAATCAAGATTCTTCTTTGTGGTGCTTTGTACACCACACCACCATGCTTTATGCATGTTTTTTTTTTTTTCAAAAACATAACAGGTTGCTTTAATTTAAGTCAAAACACCAGCCAGTGTGGTCAAGACACCAGCAGTGCCCAGAGTAATTAGCAATCGTGCCCTAAGATTTCTTAGTTCTCTATCTTGGAATGGAGTGTAGAAGTTCCTGTACTTGAAAAAGATCCAGGTCATTGTTTTACAGTCTTGGAATGGAAGAGCACTTTCTGGCCCGAATAGCTTATGGTGATGTGTTTCCAAAAATGGTACATAATTTTATTAAGCAAAATAGATAACTTTTTCACAATTGAATTTTTTATAGGAAAAAAACCCTACAGTCTTAGGCTTCTAATTAGAACATATGTAGATCAATAGCTCTCTGAGAATTATTAGAAACTTAGATCATAGCTATATATTCCTTTTAATTGATCTGAAATGATATAATACTTCATGTTGTTATTAATCTGAATCTGAAATAGATGACAACAAATGTAACTAGAATATACTTATAGAATTATAGAGTTGTTAATAGATCAGTGCCACTGAAAAAATCTTTGAGTATGTCTCTGTATTGGCAGTCTCCTCCAGTAATTTCGTGTATTCTGCCCAGATAACGTGCATCATTGTCAGAAACTGTTAAAATTAATTACAGTTTTTTTGGTGGCACTTTATTACTTTTAGTAAGTTAGTTTTCGCTCTCAGTAACTCAGAAGGAATGAACATGTGTCCAGGACTGAAAAAGAGAGAAGCAGATTTGAGGCGGCATGGTTACAACATAGCTGCCTGTTTTGATTTCTTTATATCCAATAACTCCAATAAGGTCACAAGGGAATAGGAATGTATCTTTTGGTCTTTCAAGGAAATCTATGTCAATCAATGTAATATGTATCTTCTTGTGATTATACTCTAAACACACAGTCTGAATATTTAAATTAACATAGCTCAGTCAGGTATTCTAAGACAGGATCAAATTCTACTAACTCAGCTGCAAATGTTCATTTGATGTTTTCCTGATAACCTTTTATGTAGAGAAAACAGCTCTATTTTGCAACATAAGCTAAGATTTTATCCTTTGTTTTCTTTCCACATTAGAATGAAAAATAAACATCAAAAACATGAGCTTACGCACTCAGGTAGATTGCATATGAGGGGCTTATGTTCAAAGACTTGGATTCAATCCTTTGTGTCCCACAGCAGCGCTGTAACCACTGAGCTGTGCAATTACTGTTTAATTCTCTCTTAAGCCAGTGCGTATTAAGATACTTGTATAAGATGAGCAATTTTAACCTCCCGGAAAAGAGATTCCATAATACAGTAGTTAAAATATTTGTATCAAAATGAAAGACCTTGAACCTAGGGCTGCAACATCTTGGTTAAATGTTCTCATTACTAGCTGTTCATGAGTGTTACGCTGTTGTTTAGAGCTGAAAGTATATTCCAGTTCTCAGAAGTTCTCATGACAATATTTGCCGTAAAGTTTAACTTGCCCAAAAAGTTTGATTTTGATAATTTACATTTTCTGATTTTTTTTTTTAGTATGTCACCACTTTTCTTTGTTGCCTTCCCCCTTTTTTGTTTGTTTCTTTCCCTCCAAAAGCTACCCTGAATCAATTCATTCTTCTAGCTTGAGAAGGCGTAATCCATCTCAAATTATTGGTACCATTGAAGGTGCTAGTCACAGGATTTCTGCAAGTTTGTCCAGATGCTTTCTCATCTAGATAGTAAGTTAGCTGTCAGGCTTCTCATAAGGGAATAACAAATGTCAATATCTCCCTGAATATATCAATTAATTTTTCATCTTAGATTATAAAATTTGTAAAACCTAGAAATTTATAAAACCTGCAAATCCTAAACTGATGCAATTTTATCCTTCCTAATACTAATGCAAGCGCTACAATAACCTACAAACTTTTCACAGTTATACCCCACCCTTGTGGCTTGTTTCTGTAAAACTCTTAAGCGCATCAACTGATGCATAACAAATCTGTGATTCCACTTCTTGCTTTAGTTTTCCTTTTGGTTATTGTTTTTAGTGCCTGTGTTTATAAAAATGCTTTTTTGTTGTTGTTATAAAATTTATGGCATTCACATCAAATAAACTAATAGCACTATATCCCTTGTGTCTGTATATTGCGCATCTGACCCTTTAAAAAGCAATTTCAAACTTAGTCCTAACTTAACATGTGGGACATGTAGTTTAGCTCTGGGAAACTGGAGTTTCAAGAATCATACATGAAGTTTTAAAAAAAAAAAAAAAAAAACCACTAATGCTGGGAAATGCTTTCATCTCCTGTGCATCTTAGGTCTTTGATTATGACTTTGGACTTCAAGATGACTTTATTGGTTCAGCATTTTTGGATCTCGCTTCATTAGAATTAAACAGGTATGGCACGAATAAGCCCGTGGAGTAATTCCTCGTAGTTATTTGCTAATTTCGTATTTGTGGAATTGCAAATAGAATATTATGCATAATAATAAAAATAAACCTCTGTCACATAAATCTAGCAGAGGAAAAACCCTTAAGTTTAGGCAAGTAGTGTAATAAGAATGTTAACAGCATATTAACTGGTTGTGCAAAACCTTTACTGTGCCTACAGTGAGGTTGGTTGTATAACCACTTTACTTGTTTCCTGTTGTCTTCATTCACAGCATTGCCACCTACTGTTTAATTTATTTTTTCTCTTTCATTTGAAATTAATATTATAGTTCAAATTGAATTACTTCAGTGTGTATAGGTACTAAACATGGAGTAACAGTATTTACTCTTTATTTATGAATATTTAGACTGTAATTCTTAAAAGCAGACATAGGCTAAACTCATGAAATTATTTTCAAGTAGCTTCCTGTAAATGCTTACTCCATTAATTCTCATGATTCAGAAATTTCATTATAGAATCAAAACGCATGCGTATGTTTTTGTCTCCTAGGCAAACAGATGTTATCTTGAGTCTGAAGGATCCTCACTACCCTGACCATGATCTGGGAAGCATATTGTTATCAGTTCTGTTGGCTCCTAGAGAAGAACAGCGTGAAGCAGTAAGTTTAAATGTTTTCCTAAGTGTTTTCACTCTTCTGGTACTTCTGTGATTGAATGATTTAAAGCACTACAAGAGTAGAACATATATCCTGAAACAACTTTGATTTTTTTCTAGCTCTTAAGACAATGCTAAGCAGTGTTTCTGGTACAGTACAGCATGCTTAATCTGCTTCAAATTGGATCCTCTGTGTGATAACAGTGAGGGATCTAGATGGAACATAAATATTCAGCAGTTTAAAGTGAAGTTAGTTGCAGGTGAATGCTGGTGATTAATATGGAAGAACATCAATAAACCAGTTTTATTACTGGCAAGGAATTTTGGACCTAGTGCTGCTGTCTCCAGATATGAAAGTTTGAATCCTATTCTATACTGAAAAGAAACAAGCTTGAAAAAAATAGCAGTTCTGCTTCTTGGCATTTAGTGGTGAAGTATTATTTGATATTTTGCAATTTCATGAACAGATTCCAATTACAAAATTTCACATTTTTCTGTTTATTACAATTCCTTCATCAATCTTAGTTGTCTTAGTTGCTTAGATGTTACTGAAAATAGCTTCCAGTTTTATTGATCCTGTTAGTTGTGACGAGTTCTGTATTTAGTTGGATGTATTTTACTAGTTTTTGTCTGTTGGCTTTTGACTTGACTAGTATTGGCATGTTCATGGCAGAAATACAGTGGACTCTTGTTCAGAGATTGTAAAATAACATGAATTCCTTTGGAATATAAGTCAAGAAAAAAGTATTAACCTGATGAAATGCTCCATTCAAATTCAGTCTCTGTTCTGTTGATATGAACGTGGTCAGCTATATGGGTTTTGTATGTATGTTTATGTATGATATGGAACATTAGTATGATGCATCAGCCTGTTGAATACCCAACATGAGGAAGACTGGTGGATTGTTGTATTGCTCTTTTGCTGCTTTTCTCCTAACTCTAATTAAATAGACTAATAAGTCAATTATCGGAATTAGATATTTGTTATTTGACATGACCCAGGGTTGGAATTCTAAATTGCCTATTACTTTTCTTTGGAACATTCCAAAAAGAATGGGAAACGATGATGATATCCTGGAAGACTTGTGTTTTTTTTTGTTTTGCACCACAAAAGTGTTCATCACTTAAACTGGAAAACATACTTGATTACATTTTTTGTGTGTGTATTTGGATAAAACCCGCCTTTCTGAGTCAGCTGGTAATAGCCTTGTTATTCCAGCTACTTTGGCATTATCCGCTCATAATCCAAGGTCATGAGGCAGAGGAACATTATGCTTTTATACAGGAAGCCATTAATGTGGGCAGTAGAAGTAGGTTTGTTTCCTTTTTCCATCATACAGATAGGACAGATACTGTGCTGTTCAGTATGAAGGAAGAATATAATCTATTACGCCAAGAGAGCTGAAGAAAATCACGGTTGAAAAAATGAAACTCTGACACTGCAGTAACGTGTCTTTTTCATAGGGGTGTTTGTTCAGTGGATCAGTAACTGAATCTGAGAAGTAGTGGGAGTGTACAGAGTTGCTGGATAGCAACCTTTTGCGTACCCAGTTGCCTGTTATCCTGACAGGAGGAATAATGGGTTTTAAGGTATTGGTTATTGGTATTGGTAATAGAAAACCATTGTTATTGGTTTTCTATTTAATAAGCTAATCTATTTACTTTACCTATAGTGATGAACTTCTTTTTTGTCATTTAAACTGCTCTTATATTGGACTTAAATGTTCAAGATTCAGTACCTGATTCTTAATCTGAAGTTTTATATTTCTTACTGGAAATCAGTCTTCCCAAATTATGCATCTCAGAACGTTCCTAACAAGGATTCTGGTAGGATTAAAGAATTTGTATCACAGTGAAGGGAAGATGACCTATAAAATTCATACTAAATTGGTGTATAAGAATATGTTATAGGTTTAATAATTCAAAGGGTTATACTTTTTATTCAATTTTCACATGAATTTACTTATTTATTTATTAGGTTTATTTACTCTCTAGGGAGTAGACATAGTACAAGATATATCACTCAAATTGTCATCATCTGTTGTTTTTAAAAGGTCTTGTAATAATGAGGATGACTGATTAAATTGAATGTGGGTTGAGATTAATAAATTTTCAAATGTTGTATTAGAGGATTAAGGCTAAGTTTTGCCTGGATTTACTGCTATGCAAATGTGGACCATATAAAATAGTAATTAAAATAACTCCTACGTTCCCAAACCATGTAATGTGCTATTTGAATGATTACTGCTTCCTTTCTACTCAGCTATCTGTATATAGGCAATAATTTAAATAATATCAGTTGAAATATATTTTGGCATAGATATAAAAAATTGCGAGCCCTTCTAAATATGCTTTAATAGTTGTTGCACACAAGACACAGAAAACGTTGGTCCAGATGACAAGCATTTTTTCCTGAATACTAACAAATATTCTTAAATCCTGTTAGTTTGGTATTCCTGTGTCAGCTATCTTTTGCAGACATATTTTCTTCTGAATGAGTTTTAACTCAGAGGATAACTCTAACCTGCTTGTACGTATTGTTATATAAGTCGTGTAAAGTGGTAAAATTAAATCAAGCTGAATTCAGAAATTCATTACTGTACTTAAAGAACTTAAATTTCATGTACTTAAATTGAGAATGCCCCTTTAGACCATGGGGTGGGGGGGGAATAGCTTCAACAGAGAAATATTAGCTTTCCCACATGCCTGTAGCCTAAAAGTAGCATTGCATTTGATCCTATATAATGGGCAGGTCTGTACTGATTATCCAAATCTCAGCCATTCATGAACGAAACTGGCTGTTTGGTAAGTTTGTGATGCAGATCGAACTTCCCAACAAGATCTTTAGCTACCTGAATTGGAGAGGTTGGGAGTTTTTTGGAGTTTGCACATTCAGGATTAACGTGTAGATAAAGGGCACGTCTTGTAGCAATCCATATTGTTGGTATGTCAAAATGATGTAGCTGTGTGTTACAGGGGAATGCATCCTGTTACACTGTGTGAGAAATGCTCAGGTTGTTAGCCCCTGTGCGGGAGGATAAGATATTCTGGTTGGAAGTTTGGAATGAAATGGTAGAAAATTGGGGGAGCTTGTTGTATACTGTTTCCTGGCTGTGAGAGAGAGAGAGACGAGACCATTAAATGTGGTACTATTACAAATACTTTAAAAAATAAGCAGTGCCTTATCTTTTCAATAGAAGTTGTGCTGAGATGCAGATTTCCAGTATGCTGACTGGTGCGATGTTCTTCCTTATAATTTATTGCTAAAAGGCCCCATTTCCTTAAGATAAAAACAGATTACACTTGTTTCCAAATAACTTTGCCTTTTGTGGCCTAATGCCTATTCTAAAGGCATATACGTGTACATTTTACAGCTAATAATCTTGTAATATAATTGCGTGTTTGAGCCATGTACATGAATAGAATTCTTATTCTTTGGAGTTTTACTGAAATGAAGACAACCTGATTCATGCTAATTTTTGACCTTTGTTTAATAAAATTGGATTCAGAAATCATAAATGAATTATTCTTATGCAACTACAGAAATGAGAACACGTTTAGTATTCAGTACAATGATCTATGATGTTTTTCCTGAGTTATGCTCTATAAATCCAGCCTGGCACAAGTAATTTGCAGTAGCACTAGTTCCAATAATTTATTTTCATTTGCTTTGTGGTGTTAATATTTGTCCTTTTACATTAGTATAGCAGTTTTAATGATTTTGCTTTGTGAGCACAGGTAGCTTAGACAACCAAACAAAGAAGACTTTTTTTAAAAAAAAAAAAAAAAAAGTATGTGAATATATGCCTATGTAAAAACATGTAAAACCTGTGAGAACTACAAAAAATGTTCTATTTTAACTCTGCTTCTAAAAGTAAGGTGTGTATGATGTACTCTATGTATTATTTTACATTAATTACTCTTTAAAAAGAGTATAATTAGAAAAAAGCTGAATTATTAATGATTTAAAATTTTTCTTAGGCCTGCTCAAATGAAGCTTGTTCAATTTTTATTTTGTTTTTTTTCAATTCAGATTGCATTCTATTAATCCTTATTTTTGAAGACATATGTCGTATTATGCATGCAAAGGTGTCATTTGTGGTTGCATGCATGCCAATTAAAAATGTGTGTGTCATGTCTGCAGATCTGTGTTCAGTGTTGTAATTGTTGGTGCCGTAGTGCATGTAAGTTTTTCTGGCTCTTTTCCTAGCAGAATTCAGTGCACAGATTTCATCACTGGAGAACTTACAAAGTAACTGTGAGTTCATTTGAGCTGCATGTCTCCCATGTATTCTCTAGAACAGTGGTTTCCCAACTACGTCTTAGAGGCAACTCTTGGCTATGGAAATTAGATAGCTAGTTACTTGATTGGAACAGTTGCCTTGTGGCCAGCAGAGACTGGGAATTACTGTTCTACAGCTGCCAACTGCTTGAGAAGCACAGAAAAGGGAACAAATGAAACATATGAATGTTACTTGGATGTTGCTATTCAGTGAGAATAAAATTCATGGGATTAATTTTTTCCTGCCTTAAATCATTTATCCTAAATGGTGCTTAGTATTTGTTTGCTTCATGTAAAAATATTAACAACATTAATATGCTGCCAATTTGCTTGCTGTCTTAAATCTTATAATGCAATTAAATTTTTTTTATCTGCCAAAAGGATGGTAATATCACAGAAGAAAAGAATGACAGAGTTGGACTCAGGGCATGGAATGTTTCCATATGAAATAGTTCTATGCAGGTCATTCATCGTAGTCTGTTTTACGCTATTCATTTACTTTTTGGCTTCTAAGGATGATTATGATTGCTTCGGCTTACTCTGCTGCAGTTGGTGATAATACATTCAACAGTACAGTCATATGTTTCCATAGCTACTACACAAACTTAACTGCTCAAAGCTGAAATACTAGGTACGTAGTTGATTCAGATTTGGGGTTAAATTCTCCTTCTCACTTACAGCCTGATTCAAATTACAGTTAAGCTGAATTTTTTTGCTCTGACTTGTAGGTGTGTAGGATGAAGCATCTACAAGAAAGGGAAGCATTATGGTATAGTGACACAGGTCCTGGGATAGAGCATAGGAACTCTTGAGTTCTTGTCCAAGGACTGCTGCTTACCCAAGGCTGCTTAATTTTTATATGCCTCTTTTATTTTACCTATTAAAAATGAGTCAAATGGCTTTCTCCAGCTTTTGAAAGCGTTTAATATCTTTGTACGTTTACCAAAGTTGCAATGTTATATTTATCACTGACTTGTGACAGAACTTGGGTCTTTAGGCTTTAGCTATTCAGAGCAGCTTAAAAATTTTTTCCTCCCAACAAGCTGTGCTTAGAGGGGAAATTTCTATATACTTTAGAATTTATAAAAAAACAAAAGTATTTTTGTGGTAATCTAATGAAAAAAAATTGTGCTTACTTTTATGAGATAAAGAAGTTGCAGCAGAAGTGAATGTCCTTTGATTTATTCTTGCTCAGGGTAAGCACAGGCTGCTAAATGTTGTGAAATTGTACAAAGTAATCTCTCTGCATTTGCACAGCACTGCTCTAAACAACAGTTATGTTCAAAGATAAATTGTCTGTGTTCATCTTGACTGGTATATCTGTTTTATTTAATGATTAACAATCCGTGTCTGCGGACACTTTATGTGCCAGCATCACAAAGCATTATCTCTAGCAGTGCTAAGTTTTCATAGATTATTTAGGTAATAGGCTACTGTGTTTTGGGTGTAGTTTTTTGTGTGTTTTGTTCTTAAGAGTCAAGAGAAGTATAACAACTTCATAAGCTGACAGCTAGAAAGAGAAATATGTCAGTAATAAAAAAGTATGATATAATACATTACCAGCAGTCTACAACACCTTATGCGTTGCACTAATTTTTTTCTATTCTCAGATGATATGTAACTGAAATTGTCAAAATGTTGAACAAAACACTATGAAAATTGAGACTTAAGTATTTTATCAAAAGACAATAACATGTAGGCAATGGATATTTATCCAGACCAAATGAAGAGTGTTTGAAATAAATGCGGACACTAGGCATAGTGTCAGTGTTGGGGAGCACCAGATTCAGTGCTGATGTGCCTCTTCCAGATGTTGTCCTAGAGAAAGAGTAGTTCAAATGGACCTGGTGGCCAGTGGTCAGCCCAAGCTGGCAGACATTGGAGGGCTTCCTGTTCCCTGCCCACGTATCCAACACCGGTGTTTATGACCGAGGTGGGGTTTGGTGATGGTGTTAGCAGTGAAGAAGCAGAATTAAAATTGCAACATAAACGTTTCATTAACTGGGCTTAGAATGGGAGCAACCTGACTCGAGCAGAACTACAGTAGAGCGCTTCAGTCCACTCGCTCCAAGAGCAAGAACAGGATTGCACAGTGTCAGCAGCAGTACAAAGCTGCATGCGAGCAACATCGTTTAGTATGTTCAGCAATTGGCGATTGCTGACAATTTTGTAAATATACTAGCTTGTCTCTTACTGTAAATCACTACACTAGAAGGATAACCATCAAGGCGTTTTGTAGGGAGAGACACCAGTGAAAAGGGCTGTTGCCCTAGTTAGTAACACCCAGGTCATATGATATAATAGCAGCCTTCCTCTTCCTCAGTCATCCAATAGATATGATACCGTTATCTAGTCTTGAATGTTTACTTAGAGTTCTGAATAAATCTAATTATTTAATAATACTTGGCTCTAGAACCATTTTTCGTGAGTGAGAACTAGAGCTCGCAAACATTCTAGAAATAGAACTGAAGGTATGAGTTTTGTTGTAGCCCGTGTGTATAATTGTCAAAAAAACAGAACTATTTTCATTACTGTGGACCTATATAGCACTGGTAGCCATAAAGATTTTGTGGTAGGTGTATGTTATCCAATAATCCCTATGCAGGATTAATCTTTGTGGCTACACATGCTGAAGTAAACAGTAGAGTGTTCTGAAGAATTAGAGTAGATTAAAGAACAATTATTGGAAGTATCAGTCAACATGTAAGTCACTGTCAGTAGTGGCAGATTGATGTTTTTTTTTGCTTTCCCCCCTTTTTTTTTTTTTTAATACATTTTCACATTCATTACTGCATTGCCTCCAGAAATACTACATACTACCCAGAAAGTATGCCTGGGTGTGAACTGTGCTTCTAGTTGTCTAGTTTGATTTCAGTCTTGTGCAGTTGTGATTGCAGTGTATGTGTTGCTGCTTCAGTTGTAGTGGTGGTTAAACGTGGATTGTCCCATTGGAAGACACTTGGCCTCCTTTTCTGTATTTCAGAGTAAAAGGTAATTAAAATGCTCTATTTTATTTTCAGACTATGCTAATGAGGAAGAGTTGGAAAAGATCAAGTAAGGTAACTTTTAGCATGTGGTCTTCTGGCATTTTTTAGAAGAACCTATGATGTTTTACCAAATGTTTTCTAGAACTGGAAACTTGTGGCACAGGGTTTATTCTCTTTCAAATTGTGTTTTAATAAAATTGTTTTGTGTGACAGTTGAGGTGAACTTTTAATGTAATCTTTAAATCTCTGAATTTTGTTATAGCATTTTAGCCTATCTGGGAGTCATCCAGCAAGGTATTCTAACTCTTTTTCAAAGACCTTTATCTGTCATATATATGAACATTTTCTTTTAAGCCTACTCCTTAACTCCTGATGTTAACATAAGGAATTATTGACAAATGGTAACTCTTGCTCTCCTATTACTTATTGCTGTCACTGATTAGAATTTTTGTGTGTGTGAAGGTTTTCAGACTGGTTCTCAAGGATACATTTCCCTGATCATGGGACATGCACATCCTGAGGAATAGGAGCCAGGCTTTCCAAGAGTAGAGTGCCTAAGGAACCCAGCCCAGCCTCTGCTTTGGACACCTCTTGAGATGCATCTTGAGGCACATTCAGTATTTTGCTGTAGAGCAGCGTGTGTTTCTTTCCCCCTGGGATTTGACTGTGGTAGAATACAGTTCATTCTTACCTTTTCCCTATATGTGTTTCTGGGAAGATAATGCAAATATTTTCTGGCCAGTCTTACCTAATGCTGCCAAGCTGCTTTTGGATTTTGAGCCTCCTTATTATTTGTGTAAGTAAAAATAGCGTTCAGTTATCTCAAAGACTTGGGCTGGATTGGTAGATCAATTTTTTGAAGTATTATTGCATAATAAAAGTACTTGATTTTTCTCAATCTATATAGGGTGATTTTAGTTTATAAAACAAGTGATTCACTTTTTTAATATACAGATGTACATATTTGGAACAGGTTGCCCGTAGACATTGTGGAGTCTCCTTCGCTGGAGATGGTCAAAACCTGCCTGGACGCGATCCTGTGCAATGTAATCTAGCTGACCCTGCTTGAGCAGGGGGGGTTGGACTAGATGATCTCCAGAGGTCCTTTCCAACCTCAACTGTTCTGTGATTCTGTGCTATTTAAATGGAAGGTCAGGAATAAACATTTGGCTCACTAACAAAAGTTTGCATAATATTTTATAACTTTTTTTTTTTTTAAAGAGAGACAAGATTAATAATTCTTGGGTTCTACATGGGGTTTTCACAGAGGTGGCTTTTGTGATACATGTCAGTACTTAATCTCCATGTCCTTTTTGAAATCTATAAGAAGATATTTGGAGAAGTGATAACATACAATAAGTTGGTGCTCGTATCGTTCATGCAACTTTTCCTGAAATTTGTAAGATGCTCAAACTTCTGAGGAGTTGTGGGACTGGTGAAGTGTGCAGCTGTTTTACATCCTGCAAATGATAAGTTAACTTCTGATACGCTGAACGTGACAGTTGTAAAGTTAGTTTGTGAAGAATTTTCCCGTACTTCATTTGTAATTGACACAGTTGTCAGCCTTGATGATCCTGAATGGCTGGTACTACATGATGGTTGGGAACTCTTCAGAACTGTTCAACTGAGTTACTTATATATGTTTTTGTTGTTGTTGTTGCGTTTGTTTGATAACAGTTCATTCAGTAGTAGCCATTCACACAGAGGCATATCAAAAGATTTTAGAAACAGAGGAAAGTCTGAAATTAAATATGGCATTTCTCCGTTCATCTAAGCTAAAGTCGTAACCTTACCTGAACATGTAATGCCTATATAATGCTGTATATATATTAAGTGTAGGTATATGTATCAACAGAAGTCCTTGATGATATCTCTCAGTTAAACTACAGAACTGTGGGATAAACTGCATTGTTTTATAATGGAAGTCACCTTTGCTGTAATCTGTTCCCTTCTCCTGTGGGACTCTTCTAGAATTGCAAATCTTTGAATGGCTGTCATTAAAACAAAGGAAAAATCTTTATTTACAAAGAATTCCCTCAAAAAATTGCTGTACCCTTAAGGGTACAGGATGATCAATATTAAATGAGACATCATTCACAGATTTAAGAAGCATCTAGAAACAGGTACTTTATTGTATTAAATAATGGAGAAAGCCTATATGAGATCCTTTTTCTTGAGGAAGTATGTCTTACATTTCTGAAAGCTGAGAAAACTGAATATTAATTTTTTTAGTCATTATTTGTAGATATAGTTACAACATTTCCTGAATGTATTCTTTTAACTCTCTGAAGTCTTTACAATGCCATTTCTGTTAATAGGCGTTTACAGCTTAAGCTGATGCAAGATGTTTTTTAAAACTCTCATATACTTTAAATCTAGATTTTCTGTAGCGTATATAGCCTACAGTTAAGATGTGATTATGCAGAGCAGTATGACATCAGTGGCATTACTTGCTTGTTCCATCTAGCTTGAGTAATCGTTGTAAAATGAATGGAAACTAAACTTCTATATCACAGTATCCATGTACATATGAAAAATTACTTTGGCCAAATTCTGAATCTCTGTTCCAAATTCTGCTCCCTGTGTGCACCCTAAAGATAAAATTAAGGTCTCATGAAATATTGCTTCAGGGGAGCACGCTCCCCTGATCACTCACACTATCTCAGTCAGAGGGACAACTTATCTTCCACAGAATCTAGCGAAAATGAAATTCAAACGATTTAGAAGTCAGAAGTTTATGTCCTTGTCCTATGAAAAAGAAAATCAACCTCCTTCAGCAAAAGGAAGTTCCCAATGAGCTATGAAAAGCAATAACGGTAGCAACAGACAAAAAAAACCAAACGATGTCATCTTTGCTGAGAAGGTACAAATTGCATTCAGTTCGGCAATGAACTGACTGTGCTGCACCAATTGACTGTTTGCTTTCATCTGCCACAATCTTGATGTGGGGCTGAGTCACGCTGCTGACCAGTGATTACAGCTTCCCAGATGTGACTTTTCCTGAGTAGTCTGGTAGAGGAAGGAGCTTCATTTCTAGTAGTTGCAAGAATGATTAGCTCTGGTTCTGTAGTAAACTTTGTTACACCTCAAGACAAAAGGAAAATAGGTTCTTTAACGTTTTAGGGACATATCTGTGAACTGAGGGTTTGCCCAATAATTTCCATGTATCCATACCTCTGTTCCTATGGATTAGAGATCAATACCTTAGTAATCTGTGGGTTAGCAGACAAGTGCTACAGACAAAAGAAAGGACACACAGGATCTGAATAGTCAAATTAGTTAAGGCAAATAGAGGATTTTTTCTTTCATTTTTCTTTTTTGGTATACAGCTGTTAGAAAAACTTTCACTTGTGCGAATACGCTTTCCACTCCATGTATGGGATCTGACCTATTCTGCTTTCTTCCACCACACGGTTTTTCCTTAGGGCAAGTTTTTCACTTGTACATTAATTATTCTGTTAAAGAAGCAGCCTTTTGTCTCTGCTCTTCATAAACTTGCTATTAGAATAAAGTTTCTTTCCTTGCCCATCCACTTTACTTGCTTCTCCCACTCATGAAGAATTCGTACTGTTTTCTCATATTTTTTTCATTTTGTTCCTGGCAATTCTTTGCAACTTTTCCTGATTGCTCTTGTAATTTGGGTTGAGAGGGGGGAAAAAAAAACTCCTTCATCCTGCCTTGCTTTCTAAATTTTCTAGACACCAGATCTAATTTGGTCAAACACAGTTACGTTATGGTTTAGATAGAGCAGGAGCACCGAAATGCCCACGCTTGCCAGAAGGGTAATTTGTTACTCATGATCAACGCTGCCTATGACAGCGCAGTGGATAGTGCTACTTCGTGAAGTGATTTCCACTAGAGAATCCTCAAATTACAAGTTGTTTGAGAAATAAGACATTACTACTTCTAGCATGAGCCAGCATAGATGAGCTGGGAAGAGCTGTTTTCTCCTTTTTACTCTTGAAGGAAAAATGTTAATGCCCTCTTAATGTTTCCTGATGAAAACATTCAGAAAAAAAATCAATTCTGGCTCCTTATTTACTATTTCTCCACAGCGCAGAGACTTAATCAATAGGTGATGAAAGGATATGAGAAGAGAGCCTATTAAAATGTTGACAGCATAACATTGAGTAAGAAATACACATATTAGTCTTTCTCCTTGTCATTTGTCTGCTATATTCAGTGCACTGCTGTCTTTTAAAAAAACAAAAACCCCCCAAAACCTTAACATTGTCTTTACCATTATTAATCCTAAAGTTGATTACAGAGGAAAGAGACTTTAAATGCAGTATTTTTCCCTTGTACAAAATGAATATATTCTCTTTAATTAAATACTTCCTGTTCATTCTTATTCTCTTAGCTTCTGAGGATGCAATTTCTTTACTTATTTTTTGTCTTGCCTTTATTGCCAACAACTTTTTTTTTTTCTTGAGGATAAAATCTTACCACTTCTAGCACTCGTATAATTTAAGCGATGTTGAGATCGAAAGGATAAATATAGACTTGTGGTCATTGAAACGGTAATTATACTTCAGTACTGATTTATATATCAGAGCAAATGTGTTTTCCTGCTGTTCTGCTGAAATCAAATTTTCATTTATTTCATCATAGTATGGAGGGAGATAGGGAGGAGCCTGCATGTAAGAAACAAAAATGTTTCTTTTTGTTGTGAAATGAAGTATTTTATGGTTTGTTAACTGCTACTAGTAAGTTGGACTTTGCAGACAGTACTCCCTCTAGAAGAGTAAAATGTTATACTTTCTAGATGTATGCAGTTTGTTTATTTTTTTTGTAGAGCTATCAAGTAATTTTATCAGCATTTGACGATTATTGTTTGTTTTAATTTAAGCAGAAGCCTTTCCTTTGAGATTTTCTCTTTCAAAGACCATTGCATTTTATTCAAAGCAGGCAGACTTTTTTGAGAGGAATATGGAGACAGTAAATATTTTATCACCTCTTCTCTCTGTTGCTATACAGTTTGCTATGTGCTTACAGTTTGCTATGTGCCTTCAGAAAAGGGTAATGGGATAGTGGCTTTAGATAGTGCTGTTTACCAGTACATGCAGGATAAG